GAAGAGTATGATTCTCCAGCAAGACTGCTGGAAAACAAGTCTTCATCTTTTGCTCAGCTTGTAGCAGAGTATACTACAAGGTCAAATTCTAGTTTCGACCATTGAACATCAGACCTTAATAATTGCAGCTGAGAGGAGTTTTGTCATGACAATGACGAAGATTTGCTGGGATGATTTAATATTTTCGCACTTAGCATTAAAGATAATGGCATCGAGATGACTCATCATGTACTTTATATACATTGTTTGAAATAATATCTATCTTGTATGGATTTGATATCTATTGTTTTTTCAATAATATTTCCGGTTACTTGCTCTAGGTTGCATAGTTTATAAGGGTTTCAAAGTAGGGAAGTAGCTAGAAAGATGAAGATATAGTGGTCGGACCCTTTTCATTTTTCATCCAACCGAGTCTTGTACGGTCAAATATTGGCTAAGTTGAAGAGATGTATCCTTTTGGTGTATTGTAACTGTATAAGTGTATATTCAAAGTTGAAACGATACATACTATTGTATACCATTCCTAAAATATCAAAATTCAACACTTCATATATGGTGCTTTGTGCACTCTCTGCCTCCTTTTCTTCTTCCTAATTGTTAAAACTTGCTTTCTCATTATCTTTGCATGCTTCTTATTTCAGCAACACAGCTCTGCTCTAATGAGAAGGCTGCTGCGTTGTTGCAATTCAAGACTTCCGTATCCATCAAAAACACTGCTTCTGATTCTGAACTCTCTGCGTTTCTAAATGAAACTATTCTCCATTTTAAGACTTGATCATGGAAGGAAGATATAACAATTATATATAAAGGTGCCGAACCGTTTCAGTCGTGCAATATGAACATTTTGCCAAAAAACTGTCCATAATTCCGAACTCAAGCCACTGAAATGATAGCTCAATCTGTTACATAATTAAATACTTCTAAAAAAAATTGGATCGTTCCATCTTTGATAAGGGACCACCTCATCACGTTATCACTGACCTTTCAAAGCTAGCACTTTAGTCTAACTACACTAGCTTTTAATTGGTAATGGTTGTATTTAGAAAATTATACATGCGTGTGACAAATTAATTTACAAGAATCTTCTCTTTTGTTTCATCCTTCGATTTTTCTTGGGAATTATATGCCCAGAACCTCATCTATTTGTTTCTTGCAAAGTTTTTTAGTGACATTCAAAATTAATATAAAGCATTGATGCAAACATAAGCTACTTAATTATCACAAGGACTATGAATGGTAGTTCATATGTAAATATCATCATCATAAGTTTGGTCTTATTAATATCAGTTGAACAATCATAAGGGAAAAAAGAAAATGAAGTCTTTTTATAACTTGAATACCACGGCAATTAAAGACTTTGATAATAATACCTTGACCAAGACTCAATTAGGTATTTTTGTTAATTTTAAGTGAGAATATTTATCTTATCAATTAGATTAAAAAATCAAAACAATAGATGCATAAAAATCAAAAGAGGTTATTTTCTCATAAGTAGGATTTGCACATAGCCAAAGACTTGAATCTTCTCTTAATTTTCCGGCCACAAACTTTGCTATCAAGTAAGATTTACGATTTCAAAGATGAAGATGTTTTCCACTTGATTGATTAAAGACTTGTGCAAAACCAATTAGTGTTCTATTTATGACCCATAATTGGGACCAAATTGAAAAGGTAATGATAGCATGGATCTGAGAGTAGCTTACTAAAGACTTCTATTTATAACATTTTATTTCTTTGATATATAGAATAGATCCTTAAGTCTTTTTGAGAAATAAGTCTTTTAAATCAATGTGAATTCACAATTAACCTTTGAAAAAATAAATTTTTGAAGGATAAAATATATTTTTAAGAATAAAATCACCTCAAAGCTCTTATGCTTTGCAAATCCTACTTTGTTTAGAGTATGTATAGTAAGTTTGCTTTAAATATATTCTTCTCTCCTATTGTTGGAAGAAAATTCAAAAATCAACTTTTAAAATAATTTTTAGCAAGTTTTTTT